AACCCTGGGCAAGTCACTTACCCCTGTTTGCCTCAGTTTCTTCATCTGTTAAAATGAGGTGGAGAAGGAAATGGCAAACCACTCCAGTATCTCTGCCAAGAAAACCCCAAATGGGGTCACAAAGAGTCAGTGAAAAATGACTGAACAGCAGCAACAAAATAGAAGGAGTACTGATGGAGACAGAGGACCTGGGTTCCAATTCTGTTTCTGCCTGTCACTACCTGTTCGACTCCTGGCAAGTCACTAAACTTCCCTGAACCACAGTTTCCTCACCTGTGAAATAACAGTGTTGAACTAAATGACCTTGAAGGTTCCTTCCAGCTCTCAATCGATAACCTTTACTTATCTGTACCGAGTGAGAATATTTCATCAGGATCATAGATTGATCCCAACCCCTTCGTTTGATGGATGAAGAAAACAAGACTTTCCCAAAGTGGCACAAGTAATGAGCTTTGGATCTGGGGTTTAGAACCAGAATTCCCTATACAGATAGAGGAAATCAGAGGTCTAGCTATAGGTATGCACGCATGCATGTGTGTATATGTACATTTATGTACACCTATATATACACAACTACATTTATATAACATACATGTACATATATGCATAAACTTGTGTGTACATATGTGCACACACACAAACACATGTTGGTTATGTATAATATATAATGATATGTAATATAGCTTATATTACATATAATATATATACATATTATTTATTATTATATACTACACATACTATATTATATGTATATATAATTATTGTATATTATTACATATACATATATATTACATGTAATATATGTATATATAATATAAGCTCATAATCAATTATATATACTAATTATATATTATATTTGTTGTAGTTCAGTTGTTCTAGTCATATCTGACTCTCTGTGACCCCATTTGGGATTTTCTCAGCAAAGATCTTGGAGTGGTTTGCCATTTTCTTCTCCAGCTCATTTTACGGATAGAGAAACTGAGACAAACAAGGATAGGTGACTTGTCCAGGGTCACACTAGCTAGTAAGTGTCTTGGGACTGGTTTTGAACTCATGAAGATGAGTCTTCCTGACTGCAGGCCCGGAACTCTATTTACTGCGCTACCTAGGTGCCCTATATATTATACATACTCTAGTAATTACATATGTATAGTTTATATATTATCCCCATTTTACAGATGAGGAAACTGAGGTTAGAAAAGGAGGTTAAATGACTTTCCCAAGGTCACATAAGTAAATGTTGCAGGCAGGATTTGAACTCAGGTCTTCCTGACTCCAAATCTACTTGTCTTTCCACCTTGCCACAGTTGCTTCATATTTATGTAGGTACATGTTTTATTCCTCCCTAGAGAATGTAAATTCTTTGAGGAAAGAGATTGCTTCATTTATGTCTTTGCATTCCCAACTCCTTACTCAGTGTCATTCGCACACAATACTTGTTGTACTGTTTTATTTTTTTTCTTAAATTAATTTTATTTTCAATTTACAGAACAAAGCAAGCATTTCCATAACACAGTACAATATAAAAGATGCACATGAAATTGCAAATCTACCATGTACAACGAGCTATTCCCTCCAAGTGCATGACAAAGTTATCGTGGAAATTTCTTTTTGTTGTGCTGTTTTCAGTAGATTTTTACGAATCCTTTTTGTTTTGATGCAGCCTAGATTTCCCTTGTTTGCCTCCCAGGGAGCTCCCTGTAATTGTTGGATTGGGTTTGTAGGACTCGTCACAGCTCCCACTCGGTGGGTGAAGCCTTTTATTGCGAAAGGCTGAGTCCCTTCACTAGGATCAGGACTTCAGAGCGGGACTGCAATGGTACAGGTCAGCTAACAATGACAAAGGCATGGGTCACTTGGCTGTGCCGAGAGGATCTTATTCCAGGATCTGCTGTACTTAGAGCTTCTCAGATGGTTGATTGGTCTGGGAGCCACATGGTGTTGGCCCAAGAAGCAGGAAGACTTGATTTCTGGACCAGACACTCCTTAATCTTTTAAAACACTTTGTCCTTGAGGGCCACAACCCACTCTCAGGTATCTGGAAGAACAGGCTCGGCATTTCTGGGGGCCCATCCATCACTGGCCGTGTTTTCCGTTCCTGGCTTGCTCTGGGATGGCAGCCAGCCCTGATGCAGCTGAGTGATCACCAGTTCTGCTCCTAGATATCTCTCCCATTATCACCGGCTGCCCCCATGACTACCGAATGACAAACAGAGTGTAATGAGGGTATAATTCACTCATTTGAAATGGCATGCTGCTCCCTGGTTTACCTTGAAGTGATACAGCCCTGTTCTTCAGAGTCAGAACAAGCTGTCCATAGAGATAATCTCATTTCCAACAAATTGCCTCATTGGTTCTGGTCGCTTCCTTTGCTACCCCTGCCTCCCTTCCCTCAATACCAAGAGCAGACCAAACCACAGATAGCATAAATCACGACTTGTGGAAATAATACTATGATCTGGCATATTCAATATGATACAGCCTACATGTTAGATATCATTCCCTGACTCTCCGCCCCCACCCTGTACCTCTATCAAGGCCAAGAGTTTTAAAGAAGCATTTATCTCCTCTCCCCACCAAAGCCAGTCTAAGATGTGGGAGACAGGGATGCCCTGGGAAAAGCACTGATCTTAGAACCAGAAGAAGCTAGGTTTGTGCTTTCACAATAACGATTAATGAACAAACATTTATCAAGTGCCTACTAGGTGCCAGGCACTATACTTGGTGCTGGGAATACAAAGACAAAAATAAAACTGTTTCTGCCCTCAGGAAGCTTACATTCTATCAGGGGAGGCAACATGCATATACATCTAAGTATAGGGTGGCTGATGGAGGGGATTATCAATCAATCAATCATTCACCCCCCTACTCTACTTAAAGGGCTCTCTGTATACCCTGACACTTTTTTCAGGTTCTAGGACCTCTACTGAGTCAATCAATCAAAGGTATTAAACTAGTCAGGAAAAGTCTTGTATCAATTTGAATGAAGCAAAATGTTTCTAGCCATTGGATGGAACAAAATGTTGCCATGCAAAAAAGTGTATTAGGACTGGTGGAAGAGTGGGTCATACCTTGTGGGGCTTAGATGAAAGAAATCCAGCCAGCCAGCTCCAGTGGGGTTTGGGAGAGTGAGCCCCAAAGCCTGTGCCAGATAGGTATGTACAAAAGAGCTACAAAATCAATTCAAGGTCACTTGAAGGAGGGAGGACTGTGAAACATCATGCTGAAGATGAAACCGGAGGAAACTTGGGGTTCTAAGAGGTGGAGATGAAAGGGGGGTGCATTCTAGGCATGGGAAACAGCCTGTGAAAAAGTAGAGAGGCTGGAGATTCCACTCTTTGTAAATTATCTGGTCTTGGACAAATCACTTAAATACTCTCTCAGCTTCCTTCTCTATAAAAGAAGGATAGCAACAGTTGTACTATCTACCCTCATAGAATTATTGAGAAGCTCAGACCTCCATCTTGAATGCTGTGTTCAGTTGTGGGTGCCGTGTTGTAGAGAAGACATTGATGAGCCGGCGAGCATCCAGGGGAGGGTCACTGGAATGTTGAGGGGCCTTCAGTTCTTGCCCTTTGAGAACCAGTTGAAGGAAATGGGGATATTTCACTTGGAGAATAGAAGCCTTAAAGGCAGGGAGGGGATGTGATAGTTAACATTTGAAGGGATATAGGATGGAAGAGGACAGTGGATAGAATCAACAAAGAGGATAATTTAGAACTAAGGAATAAATAATAATATATAACAAATAATAGATATATTATACAGCAATGTATAACAAATAATATATAACAAATAATAGCTAAGAAAAACTTCTTAAAAAGTAGAGCTGTACAAAAGGGGAATGAGCTATCTTGGGAGACAGTGGGTTCCCCTTCAACCCGGGTCTTTAATCACAGCCTGACGACCACATGCTAGATAGCTTTTTGATGATGGATTCTTTTTCCAGGATTGGACTAGGTGGCTGTTGGGGTCTTGTCCAACTCTTGAGATTCTGGGTGATTTTATAAAATGCAATAATAGATGCAAAGTGCTTCATAAGCATCAGCACCTATTATGGATGAGGTGAGAGAGAGGTCTCTCACCAGTCACCCCATCCTCTTGGTTCAGGGACTGAAAAGCCCCACTGTGTAGCTTGGAATATACAGATCTTATGATTATTTTCTTTTCTAATGCATATCAATGAAGGTTATAAAATGAGCAGAATAAAATGAATAGCTTCACATGCTAAAGAAAGGTAGAGCAGCCTGATGAATGCAATTCAATTTCCCTGCCTCTAAATAGACATTATTAAATTAACTAGGAGCACTTTGCATCGCCTGTATAAATATAAGATGCAAATTATGGTGGATTAATTCAAACTTACTCATACTGATATCTGTGGTTGCCTATCTAACACCTTGCTAAGGAAAAAGTAATACATGGTAATTTACATTCTACTGTCCCTCCCCATTCCATTCCCTTCTTTTCCTTCCCTTTCCTTCCCTTCCCTGCCCTTCCCTTTGCTTCCCTTCTTGCTATCCATGTGATCATGGACAAGTCACTTCACTTTTTTAAGGCTTACTTTCCTCATTTATGTAATGGGTACATAAATGGGGCATCTAGGTTGCACAATGGATAGAGCACCAGACCTGAAGTTAGGAAGACCTGAGTTCAAGACTGGCCTCAGACACTAGCTGTGTGACCCTGAGCAAGTCACTTAACCATGTTTGCCTCAGTTTCCTCATCTGTAAAATGATCTGGAGAAAGAAATGGCAAACCACTCCAGTATCTCTGCCAAGCAAACTCCAAGCAGGGTCATGAAGAGTCAGACACAGCTGAAAAACAGCTAAGCAACACCACGTTAATGCTCAACAGGGTTTTTGTGAGGAGAAGGCTTTGTAAAGGACCCTGTAGCTGTGAGCTAATGTTATTGTGTATCACTCTCTCTCAGTCCAGTCATCTTCCCCATTGCTGGTACATAGAATCACAAAATCTCAATGCTGCAAGGGACTTCATGCATCTCATGTACGTTAATAAGAATCCTCACTGTAACCTGCCTGACGAGCAATCCTCCAGCCATTGCCTGAGGACCTCCACTGAAGGAGGAGCCTGCTCCCTTCCAAGGTAGCCCGAAGCACTTTGGGGTGGTGCTCATTGTTAGAAACTTTTCCTACCAGCTAGTCTGAATTTACCACAATTTCTACCCTGCTCCTAGGTCTGGCCATTGGGGTCAAGAAGATGTCTAATCCATCTTCTGCATGACAGCTATTCAAATACTTGAAGACAGATGCCCTGGCATCCCTTCTCCCCTTCACACACACACACACACACACACACTCACCCCCCCCCCACTAATTTTCTGACTTTATTTTTAAACTTAGGGAGTAAATTGTTGTTTAAACTGGGCAGCTGTAATTCTTTCCAGTTGGGTTTCTTTAGAAATGTTTAACGATATCTCAAACTCCCTAATTTGGTTTTAATATTTCTTAAATCACACTGCAGGATCATAACCTGATTTATCACCCATTCAGAAGCTAAATATAGACAACAATACGAGAGGTTAATATTGTTCAGCAGTGAGTGTTCCTTCCAAGAAAGACATACGTCAGTAGTGGCAAGCCAGCGTCCCCCAAAGAAATCAAGAGGCTGGGTAAACAAGGCACTGGCGATTATTTCAGGATCTTGTAGAAACCCAGCTTTCCCCTGAGCCAGGCTTACTGGGGATCTTCTGCACCAAGGAGTAATTGGAAGTTGGGAGTCAGTAACAGAGGAAAGAGAGGTAGAGCTGAATATTGGCCTACTTATTAGCTGAAGGCAAGCATCTCTGTAGGAGAGGTCCTTGCTGGTAGGGTTCATGCTGCTTCTGGAATACTGGATTATTTCTAAGGGCAGAGTCCAGGCCATGGCATAGCCAGGACACAGGAGAGAAGTTAGGAGACCTGGAATTTTCCATTGACTTCAGTTCATTTCAATTCAATTTAATCCATCACATATTCATACATTAATTTAATGCCTTCTATGTGCAGCACTGGACAAAGATGAAAGAAAGGAAGAAAGAAAGAAAGGAAGAAAGAAAGAAAGAAAGAAAGAAAGAAAGAAAGAAAGAAAGAAAGAGAAAAGAAAGAAGGAAGGAAGGAAGGAAGGAAGGAAGGAAGGAATAAAGAAAGAATCCCTGCCCTCAAGGAGCTTACATTCTACAGGGGAGAAATCATATGTATGCAGAAAAGTAAATACAAAATACAAAATACAGTGCTCTGGAGCTACTCTTCTCAACCTCCAGACTCGTTGGTAGCCTGGGTCCACAAAGCTTGGGTATTGTGTGTTCTCATGACTAGGGTTAGCTCTGAAGGGATGGAGGTGTCTTTTCTAATGTTATAGATCATGAGCCCCCACTGGTGTTCTCTTTTCCACTGTTATTAATCAATGTCAATTAGTCAGAAAGACTGAATTAGCTTTTTGAAATGGGTATTACAATGGTGGTGATAGTTAGTATAAGACCCCTACTCCGCCAAAGAAAAGTAGATGACACACTCTTCTGCCAGTATAGACCAGGGGAAAATGGCCTCAAACTCAGAGACTGCATATGGCAAAAGGATAACCCCCACACAGTTTCTGGTTGCTTTCCTTCCCTTCATAGAGTAGTCATGAAGTTTCCTTTAGGCATGGCATAACTTTTCTACAGGGTTTCTTATAGAGCCTTGAATCTTGAATTTTCCAGCCCATTCTTGGCTCTCAATTCAGATGCTGCTGTCCCAGGATGCTGCTAATGAAAAAGTCAAAATTCTCCAGTTAAGGGGAGAGGGAGGCCCAGGCTGAGGCTGACTGCTTTTTCACCATGCACTCTAGTGATTGCTTCTTGCGGGTTTGTCTGGAAGGCTTTCCCTCTGACTCATTCCAAGCCTCCTGGGTTCTTAGTTAGTTCCTGGTTTTATGCAAACTCCCCAAGGTGTGACCAAGTCCCCCGGTCAATTTGGAACAGACTGTCAGACAGTATCACTCAGGTCTAAATAGTGGCTTTCAAGGACTTTTTGTACTTACTCTTAAGTTTTTAGTTGATTGGTTGATTGAGATGTGTTCCCAGCTGGTTATCAGTGTATATAGCATCTTATAATTTACTTTCTTTTTTTTCTTTTTTCTTTGATTTTAACATTTTATTTTCCCCCCATTTGTGTGTTAAAACAATTTTTTTTAAAAAAAGTTTTGAGTTCCAAATTCTCTCTCTCCCTCTTTCTCCTCCCCCCTCTCTGAGACAGTAAATAATCTGATGTAGGTTATCTATGGATAAGGGAAGAATTTATCATTTACTTTAAGTGGGGTGGGATAGATGATTGAATTGATGACTTCTATCCTTACAGTATACCCTTACACCACAGCTGCTTAGCACAGTGCCTGACATATAGTAGGTGCTTAATAAATGCTTGTTGATTTGATTTGACTTGACCTATAACAAAATAGTCCCTTTCCTCGAGGACCTTAATGGGGAATAACTCACAAACATATTTACACACACACACACACACACACACACACATATATATACAGATCGATATAGATATATGATAAATCAATGTGAAATACAGCCATACTGTGAGATATGACCACTGGGTTATGAGAATTTTATTTTGAGAGTGGACAAAGTGCCAGCCTTGTACTTATGAAGTCCTGGGTTCAAATCCTGCCTCTGATATTTATTAGCTGCATAACCCTGAGATAGCTAATTACTTTCTTTGACCTCAGTTTCTTTAACTATACAATGAAAGAACTGGGCTCAGTGACCTCTAAGGTTTCTTTCAGCCCTAAATGTATGACAATTCCTACCTTGGCTAATACATATTTGCAAGTAGAGCTAGATTCTGAGTGGTGGGAATAATGAATCCCCTGAAATGGTCACATTATTCAAGTTCACAATATACATTTCTATTGGGCTGGAACTAATTACCATATTTTACATAATAATAACTTTGAATAGTGTAAAGTTGAATACATGTGACCACTGCAAGGGATTAATTATTTCCACCAATTGGGACAGGGCTGTATTCATATTTATGAAGATTTATTTGAATTTTGTAGGCTTTGAGCAGTCAAGCCATAACAAAGTGAGAATCACCATGTAGTCATCTCTGCATTTTTTACAATTGGCAATTGTGTTAAGTTCTCCTTCCAAAATACTTGTAGTTTGCTAGCTTAGAACAGTGATCACCTCATTCATTGTGCTTGGTAAATGAAGGTACTTTCTCACTCCATCCCCTTGTTTTTCCAAAAAATGTCAACTTGTTCTGTGAGCATGATACGATCTGTTTTGATTTCTTTTTTCTTAGTTAGTTGAACTCAGTGGCCTCTGAGGTGACTTTCCACTCTAAATCTATGGTTTTATAATCTTAATTTTTTTTATTAATGTTTCAGTTATATAACCATTAAATATCAATGTATGTTATTGGGGACTCAAGAATATAGAAAAGTTTGTTCCATTGTAATTAATAGTTATCACTGTAGAAAACCGTCCTTAAGAGAAGTTTTTTTTTTTAACAGCAAATTACCTTCAAGAGGCAAAGAAGTCTGGATATACCAAATACATAAAAGATAGTTTGGGGATGGCACTAACAGAGGCGGATCAGGAAAGGCCTGTCACAGAAGGTGGTACTTGAGCTGAACCGAGTTCCAAGCTCTGAGCTCCAAGTTCCAAGAGGCATAAGAGGGAAAGGGAGAGCATTCCAGAAGTGTGAGAAAACCTGTACAAAGATATGGAGGTGGGAGATGGTATGTCACAGAGAAAGAACAGCAAAGAGATCTTTCTGGCTGGAACACAGAACTCAAGAGGGGAAAAGAATGATGTGAGAATAGTCTGGAAAGAAAAGTCGGAACCAACTTGTGACTTCAACTGAGATTAAATGAAATAATATTTGCAAAGCACTTGGCACAGTAGGTGCCTGGCACACAGTAGGTACTTACTAAATGGTTGTTCCTTTCCCTATCCTTCCTTTTTCTGACAAAATCACTGCAACTGTTTTATGGCTCAGCTTCTGTCCTCGACTAGCAGATAAAAACAGTGAATATATTTCTTAGACTAATTTAGCTGCTAAATCTTCTTAAACGTTAGTTTTATTTTTAATTAACAATGATCAATTTTTTTTCTCCCTCCCATTTCCCCATCTCCCCTCAATTGGAGAAAAGAAAAAGAAAAACCAGTCCCTTGTAACAAATATGCATAGTGATACAAAACAAATTCCCACATTGGCCATGTTGGAGAATGTATTTCTCATTCTGGCTGCTGCAAATGATGACTCCCATGTGTGAAGTGGCAGAAGAGACATACAGCTGCTGCTCGTGCGGCAAGAACAAAGGACGAAACATTCACGGCCCATGTGCTATGTTGGTATCCGTGGAATGTCAGGGGATCTGGAGGAAGCCCTCAGCACATTGCAGGGGGTGTCAGGAGGTATGGAGGATTTACAGGAGAACATGGGCAAAAAGTCTCAGAGGAATAGAAGGAATGGATGGAGTCATAGGCTGGACCTGATTCAGGCTGGTCTGGTGTTTCAGGTGTGGAATAAGAATGAAATGAGATGCTCTTAGACTATCTACCAGTTAACAAAAATGAATTTATTTAGCTGTAGAAAAGATACTCAACAAGATGAAGTATTGGTTCAGTTAGAGGCAGTTTCCCTTCTTCTGTGGTGGCCATGCTGGTCTACAGGTCAAACCTGAAGGAGCCACCCCTTTCTCTTCTAGGGCTGGCTACTAGGATGCTACATCAGTGTACTGAATTAATGAAGTGATGGGGATGGTTCACTACCTTTAAAGCAGGGGTTCTTAACCTCTTTGGTGTCACAGACCCCTTTGGAAGTCTAGTAATGTCTAATGACCACTCCTCAGAAAAACACTTGTAGCTTAATCCAAAATTGAAGGAAATGGCCAATTTTAGTTGGAGATTAGTGAAAATAAAACCTTAGAAGCACTGTGCAGGCTAGGGGTGGAGCCAAGATGGTGGAGTAAAAGAAGTGACTTGCTTGAGCTGTCCCCTAAACCCCTCCAAATACCTATAAAAATGGCTCCAAACAAATTCTAAAGCAGCAGAACCCACAAAAAGACAGATTGAAACAATTTCCAGCCCAAGACAACCTGGATGGTTGATTGGAAAGGTATATTGCACTGGACTGGGAGAGGAACGCAGTTCATTGTGGGTGAGCAAGCAAAACAGGCCTCAGCAAACCTGGAGAAGGCCTCCGAGGCCACAGCTGTGGCAGTTTCCAGACTTCTCAACCCATGAACACCAAAGAGAGCTTACAAGGACAGTAGGAAAGGTCTGTGACTATGGTGAGAGAGAAGCTTGGTCCCAGCCCCAGTCCTGGTGCAACCCTGGGGTGGCGGCTCCTTCAGGAGTTTCCAGCCCACAGACTGAGAAGGAATCAGGTGGCTCATCAGAAAGGGATTGCAGGGATCTCTTTACTGGTGCTGAGGCAGGATTCTCTTGCTTTAACCATGCTTGGATCTGGGTCACAGTTCTGGGTGGTGGTCCTGGGGCGAGGAGGAGCACTGGCATGGTGGAGCTTGTAGTGGTGGTGAAAAGGAAACTCTCCTCACAATTCCAAGACAGAAAGGAGTGCTTGTGGTCAGTCACTCATAGACCAGAGCACAGACCAAGAAAAGAGTAAACACCTCACCCTTGATTGTACCAAAATTTACAGGTCCCTAAAAGTATCTCTGAAAACAGCTGCACAAAACCCCTGAAGCTTGGAACAGTACATTATCCACACTGGAAGCTGAGCCCTACCTTAACAAAGAGTTTATAACTCAAGTAATCAGCTGGGATCATGAGCAAACTGTGCAAAAAAAGTCAAACCATAGAATCTTTCTTTGGTGACAAAGAAGATCAAAACAATCAACCAGAAGACAACAAAGTCAAAGCTCCTACATCCAAAGCCTCCAAAAAAAGTATGAATTGGTCCCAGGCCATGGAAGAGCTCAAAAAGTATTTTGAGAAGTGAATAAAAGAAATAGAGGAAAAACTGGGAAGAGAAATGAGAGTGATGCAAGAAAATCATGAAAAACAAGTCAACAGTTTGCTAAAGGAGACCCCAAAAAATACTGAGGAAAATAACACTTTAAAAAAATAGCCTAACCCAAATGGCAAAAGAGTCCAAAAAGCCAATGAGGAGAAGAATGCCTTAAAAAGCAGAACTGGGAAGTCCAAAGAAGTCACTGAAGAAAATACCTTGTGAAAAATTAGAATGGAGCAATTGGAAGCTAGTGACTTTGTGAGAAATCAAGACATTGTAAAACAAAACCAAAAGAATGAGATAGAAGACAATGTGAAATATCTCATTGGAAGAACAACCGACCAAAAAATAGATCCAGGAGAGAGAATTTAAAAATTATTGGACTATCTGAAAGCCATGATCAAAAAAAGAGCTTAGACATCATCTTTCAAGAAATTATCCAGGAAAACTGCCCTGATATTTTAGAACCAGAGGACAAAATAGAAATGGAAAGAATCCACCGATCACCTCCTAAAAAAGATCCCCAAAGGAAAACTCCTAGGAATATTGTAGCCAAATTCTGGAGTTCCCAGGTCAAGGAGAAAATATTGCAAGCAGCCAGAAAGAAATAATTCACGTATTGTGGAAACACGATCAGGATAACACAAGATTTAGCAGCTTCTACATTAAGGGACTGCAGGCATGGAATATAATATTCCAGAAGGCAAAGGAGATAGGATTACAACCAAGAATCACCTACCCAGCAAAACTGAGTATAATCCTTCAGGGGGAAAAAATAGACATTCAGCGAAATAGAGGACTTTCAAGCTTTCTTGCTGAAAAGACCAGAGCTGAACAGAAAATTTGACTTTCAAATACAAGACTCAAGAGAAACATGAAGAGGTAAACAGGAAAGAGAAATCGTAAGGGACTTATTAAAGTTGAACTGTTTACATTCCTCTGCATGGAAAGATAATATTTGTAACTCATGAGACCTTTGTCAGTATTAAGGTAGTTGGAGGGAAAAATTATATGTATGTACATATAGATGGATAGATAAATAGAGGGCACAGGGTGAGTTGAAGATGAAGGGGTGATATCTGGGGAATAAAATTAAAGGGTGAGAGAGGATTATACTGGGAGAAGGAGAAAGGGAGAGATATGATGGGGTAAATTATCTCACATAAAAGAGGGAAGAAAAGGCTTTTACAGTGGAGGGCAAGCAGGGGAACGTGAGAGGGAATGAGTGAATATTATTTTCATTGGGTTTGGCTTAAGGAGGGAATAACATACACATTCAGTTGGGTGGGGAGGAAGGAAGGGAGAAAATTTGGAACCCAAGGTTTTAAAAACAAATGTTAAATTGTTTTCACATGCCACTGGGAAATAAGATATACAGGCAATGGGGTAGATAAAGCTATCCTGCCCTACAGGAAAATAGAAGAGGAAGAGGATAAGAGAAGGGGGAGTGACAGAAGGGAGGGAAGATTAGGAGAAGGGGTATTCAGAATGCATGCCATCTTGGGATGGAGGAGGGATGAGATGGGGAGAAAATTTGGAACTCAAATTCTTGTGGAAGTGAATGTTGAAAACTAAAAATAAATAAATAGATAAATAAAAAGCACTATGCAAATGCAAGGTATTATCATTATTGAGTCAGCTAAGTGACTAGTTAAATAGAGTGCTGGGCCTGGAGTCAGGAAGACTCATCTTCCTGGGTTCAAATGCTGCCTCAGACACTCGCTGTGTGACCCTGGACAAGTCACTTAACCCTGTTTGCCTCAGTTTCCTCATCTGTAAAATGAGTTAAAGAAGGAAATGACAAACCACTCCAGTTGTCTGTGAAGAAAATCCCAAATGAGGTCACAAAAAGTTGGTCAAGACTGAAAAACAACTGAACAGCAAGCAACAACATTAGTGAAGGACATGTCTGTAATGCCAATAGAAATAAAAAATGTCAATTAGGGTGAATTAATTAAATCTATTTCTAGTGATACCAGCTGGGCTACTGTTTAACACCTTATGGTAGGAGTTCTTAATCTGGGTTCCATCAACTTAAAAAAAAAACCATTTTGATAACTATTTCAATATAATTGGTTTTCTTTGCAAACCTATGTGTTTTATTTTATGCATTGAAAAACATTATCCTGAGAGGAGGTCCATAAGCTTCACTAACTACCAAAGGTGTCCATGACACAAAAAGGTTAAAAATCCCTGCCTTAGAGTATATGGGCTGGACTTGAGATTTCATTGGTATAAGGAACTCTCAGGTGAGGAAACTCCTACCAAGGTGGGTCAGCATCTTGTTTGAGAGTTTGGGAATCTGATCTGAGGTGAGAGGGGTTAATAGGGAGAGGGTCTTTGAACTGGGAGAGTCACAGAGGATCTCTGGTTTAAACAATCTTTTCTCTTTTCATGGTCAGAAATGTCAAGGAAGGGTTAACAAGAGGTTGCTATAAGGTGCAAACATTTATCTATTTTTTTCCCTTTACTTTGGGAGTACTTCCAAGCTAGCTGCCTTCCTTCATTGCCCTAGAACAATGAAGCTATTAATCTTGCCATTTACTTTTAACTTTTATAAAATTTAATCCTTATTTTTCCTTAAAACAAATTCTACAGAGTGGTGCCCCAAAACTTACTAAGATATTTCAGAAGGGA